ACAAATATAATCAAAGGAATCAAGTTAACAAAAACATATACTGAATGTTACAAAATAAAAATATGATTCAGTTTTAACATTCTCCCACCATGAGTCTTGATCTTGGTAAAGAATGACTCAATAGCCATATCTGTCGACCTTCTTAATTTCGCGCCCATACCTAGTAGTCTTAACGGGTTTTCTCGGAGTGGGTGCCGCTGACAACTCATCATCCGACAATTCTTCATTTCTTTGTTTCGGTAAATCGGTGTTATTATCTAAAATGTCATATACTTCTTTCAAATATTCAGATTCGTCATCGGCAACAACTTCTAATGGATAGAGTCTCTAAACAGGTCTACTAAGAATTCCTTTCGATGTCTTCACTGTTACCATACGTACTTTTCCATCCTTTCCAATAACAACCTCTTGAATAATACCCAAAGGCCAATCTATTTTTTTAGATTTTTCACTTTCAATTAAAACAACTTCACCTTTGGTTATTGATCTTGTCCCTAACTTTTTATTAGAAAATATTAATTGCCCTAAGTATTCATTCCTAAATCTTTTCCTAATACACTCAACTAAATGTTGCTTACGTTTTAAATGTTTTTGCAGAGAAACTGATTCAGGTTTATCTAAATCAGGAACTTGATTCTCTGCAATATCTTGAATGAACATTGCAGATGTTAATGACAAATTTTATTGCTGCTGTAAGTATAAGGTAACGGTCTAGAATTCATAATAGCTTCACAATCGCAAATAACAGTTGATATCTCTTCATAATTTAAACTAGATTTACCTAAAACTTTCCTTAAAATTTGTTTTAAAATCCTCATCAGTCTTTCCCAAAACCCACCCCACCATGCAGCAGCTGGCGGGTTAAATCTCCACTCTATCTATTCAACAGAAGAATACTGATGAATATTATCCCAATCTAAAGAACTTAAAATATTTTCACATCCTACAAAATTAGTACCATTGTCGGAGTATATTATGGAAGGACGGCCTCGCCTTGCTATAAACCTCCTCAAACAATTCAAAAAACTTTCTGTTGAACAACTTAAAACAACCTCTAAATGAACAGCTCTATAAACACTACATGTAAAAAGACACACCCAAACCTTATCACCATTCTTCAAAAATAAAGGTCCAGTCAGGTCAACTCCAACAATTTCAAATGCCCTTGCATTTTTCACTCTATCTCTAGGTAAAACAACAGAAGGGGTATCAAATTTTTTAGAATCAAATCTACGACAAATGGTACACTTCAATAAAATTCTCCTAATATTTTTCCTACCCTTAACAATCCAAAAATTTTTCCTTAAAATACTTAATAATGTTTGCACACCAGCATGACCATTATTTCAATGAATTTGATATACCATTCTTTGAACTACTGGGTGCTGACCGGGTAACAAAATGGGAGTCAAAAAATGTACTAAATCGTCCCTTTAAAGAATCC